CGATCAGACCGCAGGGATGATGAACACAGCTCTTCAAAGCCATCTTTTGCAGCCTGAAGAGGACCCTGAGGGTCCAGTCCTCACGCTAGAGTATCTGAACATTTAGGGCTGTTGCTTTGTCTTAGGAAGCGTCTCTCAAAGCAGAATGACCCACAGGCTGGGTTGAGTGACGTTTTTCCCAACTGAAAACACTTCTCTTATGCTTAAAATGAATCCTAAGCCTACTGGCTAGGCCTGCCAAGTTCCAGAGAGCCCAGGCCCTGCCCCTTTTCCCCACCTCATTTGGGACATGCTCAAGCCCATTCTCTGCAGTCCGCCATGCTGATGACCCCCCTCAGGTCCCTCCAACACTAGGACTTTCCAAATCCGTGGCCTCCACCCCTGCTACCTAGAATGTTCTTCTAGCCCTTCAGTGGCACATTGCGGCCATAGTTTAGCTTCCAAGTCAAAGGCCGTCCCTGACCATTGTCTTCCACCTATGTTCTCAGTCCTCATAGTGTGCTCTTGCTTTTCCTAACTGCGCATGCCTCCTAGAACTTGTCGTGATTTATTTGTTTATTTCTTTGTTTATTATCTCTTTCCCACACTAGGCTGTCCTCTCTGAAATGGCAGGGATGTGCTTACCACTGTTCCCAGTGTCAGGTGCACAGTAGTTCTTTGGGAAATATTTGTCCCCTCCCCCAGCCTTAAGTCGTATGCTTCCTATTTTACAAAATACTTATAGATTATTTCAAGGGAAGGCTCTGTATATGCAGAAGTATCTCAGAGACTTAGGACAGCTGAGATGTGTTTTTAAGGCTGGGGACATTCCAAACCCTTTTTGCCACTAATGGCTCCTTCCTCCTGTTCTCTTCACTTTTTTGGTGTTTTTTGCCTCACTTGAGGGATAATTTACATGCACTATATTGTGCACATTTTAAAGGACTTTTACATATGTATCCACCCACAGGAATCTAGGTGGGATGTTTGTTTATAGCTTCCTTCGTGGGGAGGCTGGCAGGTGTCCCTTCTCATGTCTTTCAAAAGGTAAACACTATTATAATTTCTATCAATATGGGTCACTTTGGACTGTGTCTTAACATCGTAAGTGGGGTTATAATGCATGTATTCTTTCACGTCTGTCTTTCTTTGTTCAAAAAGTATGATTTTGAGATCCGCCCATGTTGTGATGTGTCCTGGGAATGGCTTTGTGATATTCCTTGGTGTGAATGTACTGGTTTATTTACTCATTGTGGAATGGGAGGACACTTGGGTTGTATCCGGTTAATGGCTGTTCTAAGCAGTGCTCTTGGGGACATGGCGGTATAGGTATTTTGGTGGTTATGAGAACTCCTATCTGCTTGTTGTGTCCTGGAGAGGAACTGTCCCCAGATAGGCATGTGTTTGACCTTCATCAGTTTATTCTGTCTTGGTCCCTATTGTCACCGGCACTTCAGTACTCCCCCACACTCAGTGTTGCTCATTCCTATAGGGCTGTGGTATACCTTGTTGAGGTCCTGATTTGTACTTCTCTGATGCAACATGATGCTGAATACTTTCTTTAAATGTTTATGGGCCACATGGGTATTTCAGTCACGGGTGTGTGTATGTGTGAATTGCCTGTGTGTGTGGAGTCCCTATTTAAGCATTTTGGCCAGTTTTAAAAGATGGATTGTCTGTCTTTTTCTTACTGATCTGTAGTAGTTCATCTTGTGTTTTGGACAGGAGTTGTTTAAGAACTGTATGTGTTGTATCTTCCCCAGGTCTGAGACTTTCCCTTTCACTCTCCTAATGGTATAATTGGATGAACAGATGCTCTGTGTGAAATACGATGTGTCCATCTTTTATTTTATGATAGTGCTTTTTGTGTTCTCCGTAATAAAATTTTTCCTACTTTGGGTTTCTTACGGTGTTTTAAACTGAAGAACTGTGTGGGAGCGATGTTTAAAGAGGGTCCTCTGTACATCTGAGAGGCACCTGGGTGGCTCAGTGGGTTAAGCCTCTGCCTTCGGCTCAGGTCATGATCTCAGGGTCCTGGGATCAAGCCCTGCATCATTGGCCTCTGCTCAGCAGGAAGCCTGCTTCCCTCTCTCTTTCTCTCTCTCTCTCTTGGCCTGCCTCTCTGCCTACTTGTGATCTCTGATCAAATAAATAAAATCTTTATTTTGAAATGGCCTCTTGGACCAAGATGGTTGACGCATGACGATAAAATAGTTCCCCTTATGAGAGCCCAACCCATCCCTCCAGGCCTTGCTCAAATTCCCGTTCCTTCAGTGTGACTACCAACCAGCTTCCCACTCTGTTCCTTTCAATAAGCCCTCAGCTAAGTTAATCCCATGTGTTGGTAACTTTTTACAAAGACAATAGGCTGAATTGCATTCTTCCACAATTACCATTCAAAAAGGAGTCAGCTCAGACAGACAACACAGAAATTATACTACATGGACAAAGAGTCATTCACCAGGTATATTTGAAGTCTAAGCTCTTTGAGCTATACACGTGCACAAATGATTTGGTTGGTGGAAATCTCCCCCTCCCCCTCCATAGTCAGACTTTTCAAACTGAAAATAGTGCTAAAGAGGTTTGCATAAGGTGCGTCATGGAAATGCTGAGGCAATTTTGACTTTCACAGTGCAGGAGGCTCCCCTGAAACCCTTCAAGGATTCCTTCTGGTTTCTTACAGCTCTCCTGGGAGAAGTTCCTCTTTCCCTCTTCCCAAACCCAACCTAATGAAAGAATTACTTGACCTGAGACAGATTCACATGGAAACTTCGCAATAAATGTCCCCAAGACTAACCCCTTAGGTCGTCCACTTCACTGTGTTTTTATTTTGTGACTACACAGGATGGTCATTTTAACCTTTGCTAAATTTGGCTGGAAATGACTGATGGGATCTGCTTTAAAACACTTAAAAAATAATTTCCAAATATATATATATATATATATATATATATATATATAT